ACGTTTAGCTGAACCACCACCCTCTTCACAGCTGCTGGGGCTTCTGGGAAAGGGTTAAGCAGGTTCTGCTGATTCACTGAGGTAGGTGACTCATTACCCCACCCGGATAAAGGGGAAGTGGCTGTCTAGAGGGAGAGGATTCATACAATGTGAAATCAGAAGGGACCATTGTGAACTTTCAGAGTTTGACTGAAAGAGCCGGAAAGGCTCTGTAGTTAAAATTCAGGATTATCAACTCAACATCCAGGCAAGTTAAGAGCTGTCTGAGTGTCCAGGCTGCGCTTTTGGAGCATGGGCAGAGGTGGGGTAGGAAGCCAGAGGCGGGAGGCTTGAGGAAGCCTGCACTGGAATTTGCTGCCTCGGTAAAGCAGTGGAGGGAAGGCAGCAGCTCAATTCCTTTTGGAAGTTTTTTGTACCGTATCAGATCCATGAATCACATTCCTGATGACTCTTGTGCAGTTTTGTAGGTGGTGTCCAGACTTCTTTAAAGTACACTTTGATATTTGAGAATATTTGCTTTTGGATGTTTGGCCCCTCATTTCATAATATTTATACTAAATTTATTAACAAATGGAGAAGGAAATGAATTATTCATTCAATATCCTTTTGTACCTTAATAATTTCCCAGTAGTGCATCAGCTGGTAATTTGAACATAACTTACTTCCTTCTTATTGATAAAATCCTAGTTGTTGTGGAAACCACAGATTTTTGCCCTTAATCTTGAGCTGTTTGGTAAATCTGTGCAGGTAATTCTCTTAAAACCTCCTTATATATTTACACTAAGATTCTATCCTTTCTGTACTGGTAGTCAGACTAACCTTCTAAGCACCAATATATACTTAAGTCCACATAAATTTTATCTATAACTACGTTAGACCCCTGTCACTTGCCAAACAGTTACTATGTTTAAAGTATTTGTAACAGGTTCCTGGGGTTTTTTTGTGGCTAAATAAAAGTTACCCTATTCATTAAATATATCTGCTATAGCTAGAGTCCTTGAAGCAACTTCCAAGTGAGCTGCACCTGTCCATTACAAAAAACAATTGTGAGATTTGATGCATTGTTCCTTGGTTTATGGACATCCTGTGGGTAGTTTGCCTAAAACTAGCTAGGTCAAGGCCACCGATTCTATTGTCCCTGCCTCAGTGAGCAACCGGCTTGTGCTGACCTTTGATCTACCTCATTAATTTTAATTTTGAATGAAATAAAGGCCCTCTGCCAGGCTCAGACTATTTACATAATTAATTTTTGCAATAAAATAGAAAATGACTACTCCACCTTCTAATATAATTGTAGATGATTAAAATTTGATAATAGCTATTAACTTCCTGTCACTTTGACCCTCTCCTCTCCCCATCCTGGGGAAAAAAATGGAGGAGTCCAGCCATAGATCAAAAAATGAAGACTTCGTTTGGGAAAGGGTGTGAGAATTTCAGAACTGAGGTCAGCAGTGAAAAACACTAACAGGAAGAAGGCCAGAGATGCCTAAAACAATTCCTGTCAATCTCTTCTCCAGAGCAATGAACGGGATTATAACAGCTAATACAACAGCTACACTTTTGTCTTCACCTTTTTTTTTTTTTTTTTTGTAGTTTTGAGGAATCTGTGTTGTCAAAATTTGGTTGATGGTTGTGATTGCTGCTTTGAAAAACTTTGTTTTCCCATGGAAGTAGGAATGTTTTCCCTGAATCCTAACTGTGAACAAGTTCTTACAGAAGTATCCTTGTTAAGCATAATGAACCTGTTGGCCTAGCTCTGTCTTTGAGCTGCTGAATCTTTCCTCTATGTTTTCATATGCTTTAACTAGGGATTAAATAAGGTAATTTTTATTTTTGCTTAGGGTTATACATCTTAGCTGTGTGCTGTGTTTCCCGAAGTGGCCCAAATTCTGCCATCAAACATAAACAAAGCAAGCCCCCAAATATCCTGTTCCATTAACTAAAAGTGACATAAGCTGTAAATAATAAATGTACTTGTAAAGAATGGATAATGGGTCTATGTCATTCATAGCTGCAATAAGCGCCTGCTGTATTTGCTTTATGCTCAGAATTATAAATACATAGAGATAACGTAAGGTTATTTCTGCAATAAAGTTACTTATTGATGTAGCAGTACAGTAACCCATTGCTCTCTTCCTTATTTAAGAGAGGACTTATCTGTCCTTAGCTTTTTAAAAATCTCTTTTAACTGTCCTGTGGAACAATGAGGAAGAGTATGCTTTCCTGGGACTTAGTCATTTTTTCAGACACAGGGTTACCTATTCTCAGTTTTGATACTGGAAGAAGTTCTCAGCCTGATGTTTGTTGAAAACACTAGAGAAAATTATTTCTATGTTGCTAAACATCCTGTGGCTGTTGCAGGAGGGAGGATGGAGAACCTCACCATACTGTCTCCTTTCCTGACCCTTTGTTCCTTGCAAACTTGAATTGCCTGTGCTGTTTATCTTAACTGCTTGTGCAATCTTTCCTCCAGTTTCTTCTGTGAAAGTTCCCGAGTTAAAGACAATGGCTGAAACGGACAAAAACACACCAGCAGAAAAGCCCTTTTGATCAGAACAGTCCCCCAGCTCTGAGCTGCCAGGAAGTGATTTAGTGAAAAAAAAAATAAAATTAAATATCACAAATAATATTCTATAACAAAAGTTATATGTAGTTTCAAACTTCCAAACAACTCAAATTCTACTGAGCAGTACAGGGCTTGAAGTATGGCTGGATAGTTGGAACTATGATTATTGTGTCTTCCCCTTTTGAGAGGGAGTTCCTAAAACAGGAATTAGAGCAGCTGCGTGAAAACAGAAAGCAAACCAGAATGAGTTGTTGGATTATGTGCTGTGGTCTGCAAGGAGAGTATTGTCAAAATGTTCTGTCATAAAGGTCAAGTGTCTTTTTAAAGGAAAAGTTATTTGGTATATTTACCCTACCTGCTTTCTCCTCTTTGCCTTCCCTCTTGTGTTCTCCCCACCCATCCCACAAATGATTCTTATTCCCCTGTATATTTAATGATTTAGCTATTGAATTGAAGCACCAATATAGCTCTTAATGTACACAGGTAATTTTTCTGCATGGACTAGGACTAGACTCGACTCTAATGTGGGCTGAGAGTTGCCCTACTACTAGCAGGCAGCTGAAACTTTTAAGGCATGAGAGATTAACATTGCTTGTCTATAAGCTACCGTGAAATTTCTCAGAATCCATTGAGGCTTGCATTGACACAACCACACTGGTGATCAGCTACTACTATGGGTGTACTTGAGCAATTGAGAACTTAGCGTCAGTACTTACTTATTTTCTTCAGATTCAATCGTACAGTTACTTGAATCTTGTCAAGAGGTCTGTTTGCCATTCCAGGTGTCGTGTGCCAGAGCTGCTTTGAGAACAGGTGCTCCGGGGTGGATTTTAGTGCTTCTGTACCTGGCCTGAACAAAAGTGAAGAGGTAAATGCAACTAGGAAAAAAGGAAATAGAGTAATACAGAGCGTCTGCTGTGCACTAACTGAAGCCTAGCAGAATTACAAGGTCACTTCTGCATCTACCGCTGTGTTAATTCATTAAAGATTTAAAATCTAAATGAGAATTGCTACTAGGGTAAGATTTCTATGTGGGCATTGTTAGCCATATTGCAAACATCTTTAACATATTTAGCATCATACTATGTGCTTGTTTATCTTTTAGCTCAGAGGCCTGGCACAAAACAGCACTAAAACCTAAAGGGAAATGACGAGATTTGTCCACTTGTCAAGGGAAAAATCCTTGAAACGGATTTTTAAAATTTTTATTTTTGGCATACCTATTTAATAGTGAGTGGGATTATTTCTATGGGAGAACAGTGTGACATGGGGGGAGAAATGGCAAGAATTCCAAAAGCTTTCCCTACCATTAAGTGACAAGCTAAGAAAGGCAGAATAAAGCTCGGTGTTACAACATAATCCTTACACCTCCTGTACTCTTTTATTTTATAAGCATCCAGTCTGTGCCGCCAGGAGCTATGGCAATCCCCTCCTGCCAGGCTGGTGCAGCTGAGCGTTTGCAGGCTGCGGCTTCATAGGGGCACCACCTTGTGGTCGTGTAAAATGTGTGCGAAAAAGAGCCCATTTCTTAAATCGACTTTTGAAATTATGCAATCTCTTTATTCTATTATATTCCAGGCTCTTACATCTGCAATCTACCGCAATTCTCCTCCCAACTCTGTTTAAATAAATAACAAATCAGTTAAAAAGCTACCTGTTTCTAACTTATAGGAAGAAGAGCAAGAGTTGTAGTTTTGCCTAAACCTATGGTTCGCCTGTAACAAACAGCCAAGACCTCTGATGTGCTATAGGGATTTTTTTTTTTCTTCCCCCAGTTGGTAGGTAACACCACTTGAAATGGCCAGAAAAGCATATAATTCATTGTAATCTCTTATAACTTGAGGATGACAGGAAAATGAAGAACCCTACATACCTTTTTTTGAAAGATGGTTCAAAACTTCTGCCATTTTGACAAGGTTAAGGTTCTTAAAATAGAATTTTACTTTGCTTTAAAGGAACTGATGGCACACTGTTGTATCTTGAATGATACCCAGG